TCTAGACACTACTGTGCATACAGTCTCATAGCTGTGTATCTGTACTGTGAGTAAGCCACTGCTGCCTCTGACTGCTAGTCTCATGAGATTTAAAGTGAGATTGTTTGATGGCATCACTGTTCTGCTCACTGTCCTTGCTGGAGACATGAGGAAGTAAAAGCCCTGTCTTTATCAAGATGGCCACCTCTAGGCAGAAACATTGTGCAGAACAAGGCATGGCAAATCATTAATGGGCAGAGAGCCCTTTTCTAAAGACAAATAAAAGGTTTTATGTCTCTAACTGCAAACTGTATGCCAGGGTATGACAGTTTTTTTATGTGGTTGATATGTTTCCCCAGTTTCTTTATAGCCAGGGAATTCCACATTAGGAAAACATTCCACTTAAGTGCATAAATATGCAGAAAGCCTGATATAACCAAGTGTTATCTAAATTCAATTCCCTGCATATAATTGGATGTTTGAATTGCATACAGAGGCACCTAACTTCAGCTCACTTAACACTACACGGTAATAAATCAGACACATATGGGGTATTAAAATTATATTAAACCTTAACTTTTTTTTTTATGATTAAGAGTGCCAGATGTACTTTAATTCCTTTTTTTTTTTTGCTTTAGACTTCTTTTTATTTCCTCATTTTCTAGTTATGCCTGAACCGCTACAACCCCCCCCCCACCCCCCACTGTGTTCAAGTGTCTCCATCAACTAGCCGACTGCTGAGGAGACACCCGTGTGTGTTCACTTCTGGCTGTGTGGCAAGATACGGCCGCGCTCTCACAGTCTAACTGACGGCAGAAGTACCCTCTTAGTGTAGGGGGACGGCAGTCATAGAAAGGTACTGAGGGGGAAGAATTGATCAAAACTGGAGCAGACAGAATTTGGAGCAGTTTCCCAGGGCAACCAATCAGTTTCTCTTTTCATTTTATTCAGTTAAGCTTTGAAAATTAAAGATAGGAGTTGATTGGCTGCCATGGCCACCTGCTCCAGATTTTGATAAATTCCCCTCTAGGTGTTTTCTACCTCAATGCAAAGAATGCATGAAAGGATAATGAAACCCTTTGCGTGTTTTTGCATATATCTACTGTTAGCAAGCAGTAGATATATGTAAAAACATTAAAAAAAGTTAACAAAAGGGTTAAAAGTTACCTGTGTCTTCGTCGCATGCTCCCGTCCAAAGAGCTGAGGATTCTTGGGCGGCCGCAAAGGATAATGGGGCAGACACATGCGCAGTAGAGACCTTCGGCCCGAGAGAAGAGGAGAGACACAGGGTAAATCAATGCAGGCAGCGTGCACCTGCAAAGACTCCGTGGGACAGGAAGGCTGGCTGTAGCCATCAATAAACATGAGATATTTACATGATCGGAATGCAAAGGACGCATCTCATGTCAATGGGGACCCTAATGGTGAAAAACAATTGTAAAGTCTACCTGGTATTCTTACAGAACAAGTGCCTATCAATTTTATATGCAGTGAAGTCCAGCGAGAAAAGAATCTGCTCTTCATAATCACCATACCACCTTGTAAGGTACTTCAATAGGAACATCAGATTTAAATATGCAGTAAAACTTTCTCTATCAAAATATCTTGGCACTCTGCATAAAAACATCAACAAATCCCAAGGTACACAAATACAGCGGTACCTCAGTTCACGAACGCTTCTGTTTGCGAACAATTCGGTTCGCAAACAGGAAGTTCTGCAAAATTTTGCTTCCGTTCGCGAACTCCACATCGGGTGACGAACACAACCGCAGCCATCTTCCCTGCTCTGACACTGGTCATGGCTTCCTCTAGTCGAGATCGCGGTCTGATCACAGTTTAATTTGGTTCGTGACCAATTCGGTTCGCGACCAGAATATTGTGCATTTGATGGCTGCAAACAGGTTGCATGCTGTCACTTGGTCAAAATGGACACTTTCCTATACCCCACCAAGACCTTGTAGAGTTACCAAAGTGACTTCATACAGCTGCCTGCCTCTTTGTAGCCTTAAAATGCATCTTTTGTATGATTGGTTTGTTTATATTTTTATACCTTGATATGGGTTAATACTGACAGTTATCGTCAAGTTGGTGTACTCCCATCTGCATATATCTTTTGACATAGGCTTTGTGTGTCAGTAGACCTCTCATGGCAGCCATTACAGTTTGTAAGTGAATAGAGCAAGACGTAACCAGCAAAAAATTAAATTGTGAGAAAGGGTAAAAAAGCAAGTTCAGTGTAATGGATATACAGAAGAACAAAGCAGTTATATTAATGCTGGAGCAAATCTTGCGTTCACTAGCTTAAAGTGACATTAAAGTAAAAAAAATGTTTCCCTCCCCCCAATGTTAATGTTAGCACTTACCTTAAATGATGTTTCTTAATCCGATCTTCTTATTTCCTGTCCTTTTCATTTGTCCCTTCAGCGCTGCTGTGGGTCTCCGATCCAGCGCTGACTCCTCTGCCCTTGCTGGTATTTCCTGTCCCACGGTGTCTGCATGCGGGTGCATGCGCCCATAGACTTACCTTGTGTCTCTCCTCGTCTCCTGGCTGAAAATGTGAACTGCACATGCGCCCGCCCCAAGATGCTTTGTAGCCGCCGGAGAATTTTCACATGTCTCCCCCGCGCGGGAAAGACACAGGTAAGTATTGACCTCTTTTTTAACACTTTGTGCACATATCTACTGCTTGCTAGCAGTAGATATATGCAATACAATCGGAGGCTTTATTATACTTTAACAGCTGCATTTAACTTGCAATTAACCTCCTTCTGACCTGCATATGATTAGCCTTAAGCTGCTTTCCCATTTATTTGTATGGGCAGAGAAGCAGTTGTGACATGAACAAAAGTCAAACAGGTGGTTTATTATATTTTTTCAGGCCTTTACTAGTTTACTAGATGAACATGCATTTGAAGTAGAAATCTCATTCTTTCCTATGTGGCTGGTTCACATCTATGTACTGCAGTTTAGGGTATTTTTAAAGGTAATCTATAAGGGTCCAGTGACGCTAAGGTGTGTGCATTACCACATTTACTGCAACATGCATGTATAGGTTTGAATAGGCCCTTCACAACCGTTGTGAAGGTAAAGCCATCTTTTTGGTGCACAGTCTATATTTGAGCCTACCATAAGTAAGACACAGATTATGAGCTTTTGTGAGCTATGTTTTTGCCAGGCTACTATGAAAGAAATTGGGTTCCCCCACACAAACATCGCCACTATTTAAAGTTTATAGATCGTTTTTGTTCACACCAATGGGAGATCCAGAAGGTAATTAATTTATATTTACATATTGTTTTCCATTTGTTTGTCTTTTTAAATATATGTAAAGTTAATGGACTGGCGGTAAAAGTTTTTTTTTTAAGCCTGACTTTAAGCTTAATTCTAGCTATTCTTGAAAATGCTATGTAATGCAGCTGGACTAAATTCCTTTTTAAAAATGAATACTGGGTTCTGTTGAAGAATTCACTTCTGCTAAGCTGTAAATACAGCACTGGTCAGGGGGAGAAATTCAGGAAAACATGGTGTGCCCTCTAAGTAACACTCGCAACATGTGATGAGACATGGGAGTGTGCCAGTGGATACCTTGATTAATCTTACAGAAGCTGCCGCACAGTGGTCACAGACATTCCACTGCTGTCCTGCATTCCTGCATGGGCTGTAATTAGAAAACCGTGCAAGTGATTTCAAATACAGATCCTTGAAAGTCACAGGAAATATATTTCAGAAACAGTTGATTATAAATAATATGCATGTAACCTTATAGGGTTGACTACAAATACTACTACTACTACTTGTCATATCTCTGAGCTTGTAAATTACCTACAAAACCAAGCCCCCCAAGTACTGCAGAAGTCTCCTTCCATACTCTCTTTTGACCATTAGAATGTCTGTCTTTGGTGGTGTGCTAATAGGAATGGATGGGAGGCTTTTGCGGTGGGCCAGCTCTCAGCACTTGCATCATGAAATGTTGAAATTTGCATAAGCTAACACTAAAGGATTCAGGGGTAACAAGGCACAGGAGATGGCTGTGTAGGTATGTGAAGCCACTGTTAACTAGTCGCAAAAGCTGACTAGCCTTCCCTACCCTCCTAGTGATACACCATCAAGATTGATCATTCAAATGCCTATCTTGGTGGTGTGCTAATAGGAAGGGATAGAAGGCTGGTAGGGTGGGCCAGCTCTCAGCACCAGCATCATGAAGTGTTGAGATTTGCATATGGTAACACTAAAGGATTTAGGGGGTAACAAGGCACTGCAGACGGCTTTGAAGGTATGTGAAGACACGGTTAACTTTTTTTCAAGTTGGCCAGCCTTCCATATCCTCCTAGTAGTACACCACCGAGATGGTGTACTCTTATGGGAAATAAGAGAGTATGGAAGGCAGTGGAGAGAGTGGAAATTGGCATATGAGACTGCTGCAGTAGTTGGGGATGGAGTATTTGAATGTATCCTGCATTTCATTGCTGCAAGCTTTTTACAAGTGTTCTGAAGTGCCAAGTGTACTTATAGCAAAAGAGATGTACAAAATTATTGACAAGAATAGCTTTAATCAGATGTGAACATTATCTTGACTTAATATAAAATATGAAAGAAATGATGAAAAATGATTTGAAACATATCTATATATTTCAATGAGTGTGAACTATGTAATGCACTAAAACTATAGCTATGTTATTGCTGTAGGCATAGCATGTATCCTTCTTAAGGTGATCTTAGTTCCCTGCTGGACATGAGAGTTAATTTACAGCTCTTGATAGAACGGATATGTAACTTCAAATTCGATTTTCACAGAGTTGAGTGTGTGAAAAATAACACTGCTAAGCAAATTGAATAGCTGCTACCATAATGCCACAAAGTTATCATAGAGCAAATGTTTCAGTATAAAATTCCCTTTTATTATTCCACATGTTTTAGACAAGCTATAATCGAGTGACCTTATTAAGACTGTACTGTAAAAAAAAACAAAAAACCTTGGTTTGTAATTAAAACTCATTGCTTATTAATGTATGTATCTCCAGGTGAAATTATTTACTAGGAATGGAAAGAGAGTTTACCCCTCTGAAATGTCTCCAGCCATCAGGTAAGAATTCATTTTTGCTTAGCCGATGGTAGAACTAAAGCAATCAGTCTCACTTTAATTTTCCAGTTCTATTGTTTCTCAGAGCGTATTGTTTTAGTGGTTACATTTGTTGATTCAGAATATCTGTCTTTTTCCAGCACTGTGTGATGATGACTATTTGTAATTTAGTCATTTTATTATTTGTACTCTTTTCCCACCTTACATGTCCAGTAAGCATAACTTGCAAGCTGGTGATATAAAAACTATTTTAATAGCACTCATGGGTAAATAAAGCTTCAGGAGATTTTTAGAACAAAATGTATTTAAAATGGATGTGGTGGGGCGTGATATTTCAAGCCTATAATTGACTTCCTGTCATGTAGATTCATAGAATTCTGCTGTCAAAATGGAGAATGCAATAGAAGGAGCTGGGCAGGAACACCCAGCTGGTGGTCTCTTTAACCACCTGCTGTCCGGCCGCTGTAATTAAACGGCCGGACAGCAGCTTCTTGAATGCGGGTAGGCGGTTTTAAACGTCCCATCCCGCCCTGCTCGTGCCCGCCACTAGACGGCACGCACGTACAGGAAATCGGCTTTGAATGTAAACAGCTAGCGATGGCTGTTTACATACAAGCGTTCAGGCATCTGTAGAGATGCCTTATCGCTTGTAATATGCAATATGTAATATGTGCGCCCCTCCGTCACAGCCGCTGCTGGTGATCCCGAGCTCCGCTGTTCCCGATGTGAGCCCGGGACCAGCACAGCAGCTCTGTGGCCGGAGATCAAACGGAAATCAGTACACAATCTCCGTTTGATCTCCTCGTCGGAATGCAGGAAGTGATGTGTATTACATCACTTCCGCATTCCTCTGTCACTCTCCGGTACAGAAACCAGAGAGAAGCTGGTGAAGCAGGTCTCTGCTTCATCAGCTTCTCTGGGGGTCCCTAGGTGACAGGGGTCTTAAAGACCCCTGATGTCTCCATAAAGAGGACCTGTCACTGCAAATTGGCTATCACATAGGGAGCTTGTTTTCTCCCTATGTGATAGCAATAAAGTTAAGTGAAAAAAAGGTTTAAAAAAATTAAAAGTCACATATCAAAGCAATAAAAAAAAATTAAAGTCCCCCGCCCCCACATGCACACGCAAACATGCGTCGGGGTGCGCCTACGTGCGAAAACGACGATTACATCCATTGCGCCGCACATGTTACATATTGCCGCAAACGTCTGAGTGAGAGCAATAATTCTAGGGCCATTAATCACTGATAACACTAAACTGATGAGCGGTAAAAGCTTTTAAAGCGTCGGCTATGGTCAATTTTGGGTATGGTAGTTTTTTGCGATTTATCGGGTGCGCCCAATTTTAAAGCTTGACATGTTTGGTGTCTATTTACCCGACGTGACCCAGTATTTTATATTTTACCAAAAAATTGGGTAATAATAAATGTTTTATAACATAACGTAGGGAGAACAGGTTTTTTTTCAAAATTTTGGTTACATTTTTCATTATATAGTTAAAAAAGAAACCCCATAGTGGTGATTAAATACCACCAAAAGAAAGCTCTATCTGTCCCCAAAAAATGGTATAAAATGAATTTCAGCACAGCGTTGCATGACGGAATAAATGTCAGTCAAAGTACCGCAGCGCTGAATACTGAAAAATGGCCTGGACAAGAAGGGGGTATAAACACCCCGGTCATCAAGTGGTTAAATGTTTTTTGACTTCTAAGTTTTCTGTTTCCATATTTTACATTTTCATTTTGAATAATTAGGGAACAGTGTTTTAAATGTGTCGTGTTTTTTTTCTGATTCCATTTAAAGCTAAAAAACTCCAGGCATAAATATGTGCTGTAGCATCTGCAATTACAGTTTTCGCTTAATCAACCTAGTATCTTACAAATACTTGTTGACTCTGCTAGTAAAGTCGACCTAATGCAGCTTCCTGTGATGGGGTCACAACACTGCTGCACTGATCCTGTATTAAGAGCAGTGTTATTGCTCTCCTGAACTACTGTGAGATGAGAAGATGCTGTATAGGGAGTGGCTATCAGTATTGTGACTGCTGATTTACAAGCCTGCTTCAGTTAGCAACTGACCCTACCTATTCCTACCTATCTCTGTCAACTGTTGTTTGGATTGACAGCACTGTCTCTCCTGCTGAAACACTCCCACAGAGAGATCCAGTGTTTGGGAGGGAAAATGTGAGGCACATATGAAGGCGAACTTGGCTCACTGTGCTGCTTTTCCTTTCATTGTTCAATCAGTCATAAAATATCCTCTTTCTGTACTACACCAGCCTCATTTTTCTGGTTCACCTTCAGGCACCATGCTGATCTCAATGTCACTAAACCCCTATGAATTGCTTGAGGACTTACAGGTGTCTTCCTGTAGCTTTAGCTTTCTTCTAGAGAGTTTCAGGAGTTGTAATGCCCAGGAAGCTGTATAATACAAACACTGCAGATGCATAAAAGGTCAAGCTGTGACACTGCCCTCCACTTTTCGTCAATATTGACCCATCACTGTATTGGGAGATCTTAATATCCAAAGGTAAGGCAAGGGAGGAAGAACAAGACAAGCCAAATTTATACCTTCCAAGCTCTGGCCACTGTTATCAAGTTGAGCATTCCAGAGTTCAGGGCATTTGGGGCACTCTAAAATGGCATGCTCTGGATTGAGATCTCTACAGGCTTGCTTTAAAGTACAGTTGAAAAAAACTACACTAAAGCTGGCCATACACCTATAGATTTTCAATTGGAAATTTTTGTTGCTGCCAAGAACCCTTGTTCGATTCTAGCTCAAATAGCCTATCAAGCACAGGCCAATGTCGATTTCGATAATCGTTCGTTTGCAATACTAACTCATCGAATTTTGTCGATCGACAGGACAGATTTTCGTTTGCGCATGTGCAGTGTTCTTGCTGCAATTTTTTTTTCCCGTATAAAAACGTCACTAATCCATCAGCTTTCGTTCGATTCGAAAAAAGTTTTCCAGCCTGACCGATCGAGGAAATTCGGCCAGGATTACAGTAATTAAAACCATTAGGTTCCCATCGATTTGCTTGTTTATCAGTCGAAACCACGTTTGTGTTCGATTTCCAAAAGAAAATCAATGACAGTATGGGCACCCTTACCCACTTTCCTTAACTTAAACTTAAACTTCAGCTACTTATTTACCTCAGTAGGACCAGAACAGGTGAATGAGGGTATACTCTCTATATAAAGTTAAAGTACACTTGATGTGACAGGTGATTGTTATTCTCCTGATCCTCGTTGTGTACTTTCAGCCTTGCACTATTTCTAATCTCAACATATTTTATTAATCATTTTATTAATCGTACAAAACTTGTGTTTTTTTTCCTGTCATTTATTGCAGTAGAAAATAAGATTAACTTCTCAGTTTAGGCAATGTTTATTTTGTTCTTAAATCCCCAATTTTTTCTTTGTTAGATTTAAGCAGACACTTGAAGATGCCTGCAGATACCTTCTAGCTGCTTGTTAAACTATTATCCGTTTCCTCTGGGCTCCCTGAAGCCAGTGCATAATCTCCAATGCGCACTAATAATGCAAGAGTGAGCTGTAAAAAAGAAAGGTTTAATCTGATGTATGTATTCAGCCTCTCATTAGAGATGTTTCTTCTGCAGTTCTTTTGTTATCTGGTTACTGTAGGATTGTTAGTCTATTTCCACAAAAATATATATCTTTGTGTTGTGGATGCTAGCAAGATGAATAACGCATTGGCTTTTTATATGTCTCATGGACACCAGTGGGGAGATATTCTCACCAGAAACCCAGTTCCATTTTACCCATTATAAAGCCAAATGAATGTGTTATGTTCCCACAGTGGATTCTCAGTCAGGTAGGATAAACAGTTAAATGGTAAGTCATGCCGCAAGAGATTGACACCTTAATTATGGTTAGTGGAAGATGAAAACTACTATAGGGAAATCTCACCACTAGAGTCTCTGAGAGATAAGGAACCAGCAGGTGATCCAACACTCCTGGATTCATTATAATTTAGTACTTGTTGGCACCTGAATGCAAGCATCCCCTGAGCTAACTGGAAACAGAAATTCATAACGGTAAAGGGTAATTATGCGCTGCTTTGTTTTCACTAAACAAATAAACTAAAATCTGTCAGGCTATACTTGCCATTTGCCTAGATGACTCTGGCTTTAATAGATTTTCAATCAGATGTCAGAACCTCTGATCTTTAAATTTATATTCAGTGAGTGTTAAAGTACCACTCCAGCAAAAACAGATGCCCAACTTTGGGCAAAATAAAAAATGACATACAGTATACAATGCAGTGTGCCAATAGCATTAACAGTTTTTGATTTTTCCACTTCCTTTAACAGGAGGCCAACACTGCATTATTGGCTGGCTGGATTTTAGTAGAAACAACTTAGTTGAATGTTCTCTGCTTTGCTTCCTCGACATTCTCAGTCTTCCTGCTGTGACAAGGGTAGTCCAGCTTCTGCTGTTGAATTTACTTTTACGTTACTGCTGACTTTTGACAAAGTCAACATTTGCATGTCAGTAACAGCAGTCCTGTAGCTTACACTGTTCATGTTGCATGCAATTGAAACAGTGAAGTGATTATGATAGTTCCATCTTGATCACTTACATTAAGGTTCACTCTAAAGTGACACTAAACTTAGGACTCAAGTACCCTATTAAGAAAAGTGTAGCTTATTTGGGCATCACTCAGCTGTAGATCCCCAAAGCATCTCTGAATTTGTACTGACACTGTATTCCCCTTTCCAGAGAGTGGCTGCTTTTGTTCCCCATGGTCCCTGTGTGTGTTGTAAAGTAGCCAAAGCTCCAAGCTTGTTCCTATGATGAACTACAATCTCAATACAAATTAGTAAACTAAACATGAGATTGTAGTCCATCATGGGGGTGAGCTTGAAGCGGTGGCTACTTTACAACACACACAGGGACCATAGGGAACAAAAGTAGCCACCCTCAAGAAAGAAGGACAGTGTCAGCACCAATTCAGAGATTATTTGAGAATCTACAGCTG